CTCAATCGTTTTCTATTTTCAACAAATAAACTCCAACTTTCTCTAAAAATTGGGGTTGTTATTATGAAGTTGGAAGTTTCCTAGTAATTAGGAAAGTAATTATATATATATATATATATATATATATATATATATATATATATTAATGGTCAAAGTTGTGTCTCGACAGGTGTGAAATGTTGACCGTTGCATTTATTTAATAACGCGGGAAGTATTTAATCAGAGTAGTATAAAAAAGCAACCAAAAATAAATCCGCTACTTTATCCAAGTACACTTATTTTTGTGTGCAAACTCAAGTTTTTAAAAAGGAAGAGTTCCCGAAATAGGGGTGAATAAGTTTGAAAATTTCAAAGTAGGACTGTCATGTTTTTATTCCCAAAATAGGAGTAATTACTGCCAACTTTGAAAAATACTGCCATGTTTAAAGCCTGAGACTGACAAAACATGACAGTAGTTAGTCTTATTTTGGGAATAAAATCATGACAGTCCTATTTTGGAATATACAAACGTTTTAGTCTTATTTAGGGTAATTTCCCTTTTAAATATATGTACAATTATGCACAATTATACGTTGTAGTGTTGTACTAGTTTTATGACGCGTGGTGCATGACTGCATGATGGGTTAATGCCCACTAGGGTTTTGTTTGGCTTAATAGTATCAAATGTTCATGTTTGTACACTAGAATATGTAAGAGTAAACTTCATTAAGCGATATCTTTGAAGTTTCTTCTTTCACAAGAATGCTCTCACTTTCCTCTCTCAAGAAGATTCTCAATTTCACTCACTCAAGAACTCTCCCCAATTCCAAGGTTATCATATAAATGAGAAGATTCTCTATACTAATCTCATCAAAGTTTCTCTAGAATTTTTATACACCATTACACATCTAGATTCTTACAAAAAGTATTCACAAGCTTCTCTAATCTTCTAGAAGGATTTAGAGAACTTCACAATTCTTCAAAATATTCTAATGGCTTCCACACACTTACTCACGATTTTAATGAGTTTCACACTTCTGTAGAAAATTCCACATTATTATTCTACAACATTCACCACTTCTCTACACACATATAGAGAATCTTAGACATCTCTGAGTATTATAAAATTCTCATTAAATTCTACAGCCACTAAGGAGGAAATCCAACACAATATAATCTTGAGAATGTTTTGATCTTTTTGTTGCAAAAATACATATTCATCAAACTCAATATTTTCTTGCTCACCACATGTAACTTCGCACCCGAATTTTAGCCAGAGAATTTTATCAAGTACGGGTTAAAAAAGGTAAATCAAGATAAGAGTAGTGTTAATTAGTAAGAAAGATAAAATCCATGTCGGAAATTAATAAAAGATTATTAAATCAGACGTGGGCCATGTAGAGGAGTAAATGTAAAACCACCTCGGGAAATGTTCATATATAACATTGGGTAAATTAGATATAACACCTTAATAGAAAGGTGCGGTACATTATCGTGTAGTAAAACTACACGTGGATCCACATCCGGAGCGGGGACCACCTAAGATATTCTTAGTGTATAAGATATTATTTTTAATTTAAATAATACTATTAATATAGTAGGAATGGATCATGGACCCCAGAAAACCTCAATGGTTGCAAATCATTAATAATCGGACTGTTAATAATTCAGAAGACTACGAGTTAATAATGGAAGAAATATAACTATTTTAAGAACCTGAAATAATGTGATGATTAATATATGATTAAATTGATATATTAAAGGAGGGTACTTTTGGAGGACCATACCTTGAAGATATTTTTGTATGAAGACAAAGAGATAAGATTCATTTGTTCATACATTTCGGACTAGGGGTGTGTTCGGTTTTGACCTAAAACCAAATATAGAATCAAAGTAAAAAGTTTGGTTCGGTTTCGGTTCAGTTTTACACTTCAAAACTTGGAACCACGGTTTGATTGGTTCGGTTTGTTTCGATTCGGTTTCGGTTTTTTCGGTTTTTTACCAAAAAAATATCATTTGATTTAAAATTGATATATTACTATGAGGGATCAAACATGTATTACATAAAAAATGCAAGCACACTACAATAAATAAAATAAAAAAGAAAATAAATAAATATGTCATGAATTATATGAGTATGTGAGAGAGATAAAAGTGTATATATTATTAATTTACATTGTTTGTGACTAGTTCAAAAAAAGTTCATGAGTCTATACGTTCTATGTGATATAGTTGAGATGAATATTTATTGTTTCATCAATATGAATTCTTTAAGTTAAATATAAAAAAAGTTAATTAATACTAATAATTAGTAAAAACATATGAACAGTATAGCTACGTTATTACGGACAATGAATGTGTAAATGAATTCATAAACTAAACTAAACATAACACAAACATTATTTCTCTAGCACAAGAAAACCAAAGAGTATTAATGATATTAGGATTAGTTAGGATTAATGCTTAACAATTGACAAATAAATTTTATATTTTAATTAGTTCGGTTTGTTCGGTTTGGTTCGGTTTTGAAGGGCAAAAACCAAAACCGAACCAAACAACTATGGTTCGGTTCGGTTTTTTATATTCGGTTTCGGTTTGTTAGCCGTTCGGTTTTATTTGGCTACGGTTCGGTATGATTTGATTCGGTTTTCGGTTTTCAGTATTTCGGACTCAGCCAATTTGGACCACTTAAAAAGAAGTGTAACATTTTAATTTATTAAAAGTGACACAAACTATCTGACCACATATTGAGTCATGAGAAATGACGAATGAATTTACAAGACAACGGGTTCTCATTTTCACTGTTACTTGAACTGCTTTTATTGCTTATTGTTTTTCTTATTTTATTTAGATCACATCAAATGAAATAAAAACCAGATCAAATCTAACCAGATAAAAATGATTCCAATCAGATCAGAAAGATTCAGATCATATCAAATAAAAAAAATTAAGATCAGGTTAGATAAAAAAGATTCTAATCGGATCAGAAACATTCAAACCAGATTAGATTATTCTTATGAGTTCTTATTATTAACAAATAATAAATAATACATAGTATTAAATTATTATTATTATAATTAGGCTAAAGAGTCAAATAAGCCCTCGAACCAACTTAAAAGGTGCAATTCACCCCTTATTTAGGAGGCCCTGTCCGGTCGTCGCCAATTGGGGCGGTTCCTAGTGGAGTTGTTTGATGAAATTTTTTGAGCATCTTCTTCATTAAGTATAGTTACCCATATCAAATTTCAGATAAAAATTCAATCGAGAAGACAATCAAATGAATTTTTAAGATAATTGTGCAGTTCAACGGCCATTATATGAACTGAAATGGCCTGCCAAACGCTACACCAGCAAATGGCTAAACAAACGCCCCATACAATGAGAAATCAATGACTAGTCGTTCCGGAGTCCGTTTAATTAGTACTCCCTCCGTCCCAATTTGATGGTCTTCATATTTCCTTTCCGGGTCATCCGAAATTGAAAGTCTTATTTCCCTTTTTGGAAAGAAATATGTGATCCACATCATTTCACCTTTTTCTATACAAATCTCAACTACAACTTTTAGCTTTTTAAACACTTCCTTAATATTTGAGCCCAAAAGAAATGAGAACATCAAATTAGGACGGAGGCAGTAAGATATTTTTCAATATGAACTTTATCCCTGAAAATTGTGTTAACTATCAATTACACACGATGAAAGTTATCAATATAGGGATTGGATATATTAAAATTATCGATCTAACAGCTAAAATATGATGAGTTTATAACTTTTTTTAATATATTTTAGTTTTAGTAAACTAATGCAGTTTTAGATCAATTGACAGTTTTTAATCATTCGTGCCCGACAATTTTCATATTCTTGATTGAAAGTTATCATATCATTCAATCACTTGATTGAAATTCTTTTCAATACGAAAAGACCATTTCATAAATAAGTAGCCATTCCAAGTTAACAATCAATGTTCCCGTTTTTAGTTCTGACAAATTTCATACTCCATATCTCAGCAAGGCAAAGAAAGTTGTAACAACAATGCTGGCAAATAACTAAAGAAGGCAAATCTCAGACTATTCATCCCTGACTGAAGAGGAGAGAGCTATTTTCACAACTTTTATTTTTGTTCCTTCTGTAGACAGAAGAGAGCAGTCCCAAATATGTACACTAGTTGATGAGCTAGTACTCCATATTTTATTTAGAGCTAACTGCCTTGCACAGTAGTACTCATGAGTCATGATTTTTCAGGTTTGACTTCTGTGGTAAGGGAACTCAGGAAGATTCGAAAGAGAATAGAAATGCACAATTATGTCTATATACAGCAAATGGGGTGTGATTTTTATATCTTTAGAGAAGTCAGGTGGTTGTGAAACCCCATGCAATATCACTCCCTTTTCTACTACGGAGAATAAAAGAAGACGTCAAGCTAACACCCCCTCATAAGAAAGAGTTATTTTGTATGCCATCATGACTGTATACCATCTTATTGAGGATCTGGCAACTGTTATGGTAACAATATCATGTTGTAGACCGTAGAGAATACTTTATAGCATAAAAGTGTGAAAGAGGAAATACATAGCATCGTATTATTCACTTGACTTTTTCATCAAGGATCTATTTTATGTCTATAAGTTGGTTGTATACTTGCAGGAACGCGTTGTAGATTCAAGGGGAAACTTGACAATCTTATGATTCAAAGTTTCAAACTTAGGAAGAACTGCAACCACCCTGATCTCTTAGAATCTCAGTTTGATGGTTCTTGTATGTCAATTTAAATTTGTTGGCAATTGTTCTTAATAGTTGGTCACTGTGGCAAGTTTCAGCTACTAGGAAAACGTGCTGAATAACTGCGTGAACTTAAACACAAGGTGCTTAATTCGAAAAATGAGTTCAAATCTATGAATGATGATGTTTAGCAAACGTCTTGCCTCTTAACAACTTAGTATTCATATCTTCTTGCTGTTTTTTCTTAATAATTGATGGAACACTAGGTTCTGATTCTTTTTCAATGGACTAAAATGCTTGACATAATTGAGTACTATTTCAGTCAAATGTCATCTTGGTTGTTCTACAACTTCGAACAGACAATTAAATAATCACTGTCTACAGAGCCAAATCAGTAAATCTGCAATGCATAATAATAATAATTCAATAATAATTACGCTTTAAAATCAATGCTTTGCAGTGTGGATATTGCTGATGGTTACAAGGCTTTCGACATAGCTATAAACATCACGAAGAATGCTACATGTGCCCGAAAAAAGGACCTTGACTTCCTTAGAAGTGAGATCAAACAAAAGACTATCAATACCACCAACCTCATCGTTCTCACCGTCCCCCTCTACAGCACATTTAGTAGACACATCGCAGACAATCTGGTTCCTCCAAATGGTCATCGGTCTTACAAAGAGTGGATAAGGACCACAAGTCAATATCTTACTCCACGAACCACCAATGCCTTCCTTCATAACCCACAAATCGATCGAAAAATTTCCTGTGTTTAAAGCACTAGAATAATGAAATATGGCAAGCCTATTCTCATACACAGTCAGCCTAGCAACGTCGTTCCTGGATAAAGGAGGGGGTGGTATCAATCTGACCTCATCCATTGCTAAACAGAAGGAGATTATGACATTAGTATACTCTTTCCCATGAGATGCCAAACCTCTCTGTGTTGCAAACCAAAACATAGACCCATTAGTATTAATGGGATCACCAACAAACTGTATGTCCTTTAAGATAGTCATTTCTATTTTCTTCCATGAATGCGTGGATACAGAATAAACTTCAAATCCATTTTCCGGAACATCACCCCGCGTCACATAGGGTATGACGATTTTGTAATCGTTCACAGTTGGAATAAATCCAAAGCCCAAACTACAAATATAACATATATCCATGCTTGTTCTGCTTCTAGGCACCTGTATAACCTCTCTAGTCGCAGGATTCCACAAGTAAAGAGACAGTAAGGGAGTAAAAGGCTCCTCGATTCGAACACAGCAAGCCGTTGCAGGAGCCGACGATCTTTTGGAGCTCGATAAAAGGATTGTTCTGAACTTCGCAGAGTTGTATGTTGCGGTCGAGACAATATATAGTCGAGGTGTGGAAGAAGGGGCTCCGTCTGCAAATAAGAAAGGGATCTTCTCCGCTGGCGCGGTCGAGGTGGCTGGCAATGAAAGATGGGCTCTGGATGAGATTCTTCCAGAGAGAGCATACACTTTGGAATCGGATTACGGATTTCACCGTCGCTTGAGAACGTCGGCGATGATTTCTATGGGAAGAAATGGGGCGGCGCGACTCATCTCCCCTTATGTCTGGTTTTACGCTTAGCAAAGAACTGCAGAGAGGATTGTAAAAGACCTACGGAGTCATAGATTAGAAAATAGTGATGGCAACTAGGGGACGGGTACACATAAATGTTTGCCCCAAAACCGTCCAATTACCTATCTAGAAATTTTTATTTAAACCATACCCGCCCCAACGGGGAATCGGTTTATCCACTGGTAACCGTTTCCCCAAATGATACCAAATAACCAATTTTTTTGAAAAAAAAAATCATTTCTAATTCTACTTGTTATTTATATATTCAGAGCACCATAAAACATACAAAAGTAAATATTTAAGCAATCAAGCAGACGGGCCTAGATTCATTAGTACGGCATGCACCTCATATCTCTTGTAACATAATAATAAAAATAGTAATCATCCCAGAATCCAAATTTCAAAATCAAGTTTAGGCCTATATTTAGTTTTAGGCCAAAAAAAGCACTCACTGTATACTTTTTAGCATTATTTATATGATACTCCGTATATACTATTTAGTATACACAATTTAGCGTATATACTTATTAAGTTATTATTCTTATATATAAAAAGTTATGATTCATTAATAATGTTACGGATCGGGTAACGGTGCGGGTACCCACACCATTAGCGAACGGGGCAGTTTCGGGGCGGATAACGGGGCGAATGAGTATAGAACCATAACCGCACCATTAACCATTTAAAAAATTCGGGTATTCCCCACCCCGTACCCATTCCCCAGTCAAACCGGTTTTCCCCAGCTTGACCAAATCGGTTCGGTGCGGGTATCCAACGGGTCGGTCAAAATTGCCATCTCTATTAGGAAATGTGGACAGATGGAGCCATACGTGGACAAACACTTGCCCCACTCTAAATTGTGTCAACAGATAATTGTTTATGTGTGTGATAGAAGATTGTTCGAAATGTGTACACTAAAATGTGTACACATCACAAACTCTTTGCCATTTGTACACGATTAGATTTTCACCCGTGTTTCGCATGGGATGCAGTTAGTTAGCAATAAATAATTTGAGATATAAGGAAATGATGCGATAAATAAAGATCGATGTATATATTATTTGTAACAAAAGTAAATGAAGATAAAAACTACAGAGTACAAATTATTATATACTTCCTTGTAAATCACATTTAAAGTCTTCTTGACCGGTTTTCCATTATGATCACATATAATAAACGTCAACTCAGACGGGGACGTCACTCTTGTGACAACGACGTTAAGTTGTCTATGGGTGAAAACCGGGTAAAGCACCCTCATATTTATCGATCCATTTGTTTGTGTGAAGGGAGGACTCATTTGCTTTGTGAAGAGGAGAGGGAGAGAGATGAGAGAGGATGATGAATGCATTTGTTTCTATTTGTTTTTATGACAGGAAAATGGAAGCCGTAAATAAAAGAAAGCGTAGATTTAATACGGTCCACGGTGAATGACGAAATGAATCGCGGAAATGCCTTGGACGGGAAAATGGGTTGCACGTGATGAATTTATGTGTCCTGAACATTCTTTTTTAATTTAGTTCAATTCAAAATTGCCTTTGATTTGCCTATAAGAAAAATATTATTACACTATATTTGAATCTTCTATATAAATTTCCACTTAAATTACTTGTTTTATTTTTGTGCTTAAATAAATTTTCTATTAACTTAGAGATGGAATGATAGCTAGAATATTTTAATTTGATATTTTAAACATCCATGTAGGCATTTAAGTGGACATAATTTGATTACGATGAACATACATACTAAGTAAAACTAAATTATTATGCCACTATGTGTAGATAACATTTCAAACAAATAAGTTTTCGTTTAGTATCTTGGTTGATAAATAGATATATTTGAGATGTCATATTCTTGTCATACACATTAAGTACAATTCATATACCATGGGATGATCCATGAGCACCATGCTCCACGTCCAAAACAACATAGTTTTGATCAATTTTTCAAAAAACAATTGGAGTGAACAGTGATGCGTGAAGAATACCCGCATGTACAGTCACTTGTTTTTATTTCTTTTTCATCCCAATAACATAAATGATATAATTTGCGTGTAAAGAAATATAACTCACGTTATTGATCAATGTAACTCAAGTCCAGTCAAAATGTAACTTGTCAAATAAATAGTATAAGAAGTAAAACATTGATTTCAATGTAAATAATGAAAAAGACACTAATTACTCAATTATTTTACATAAATAGTGTATATGTTTTGTTTTTAATATCAAGACCATAAAAATGATTTTTTTATATAAAAAATCTTTGAAAATTATAGGCCTATTATGTTGTGCAACTCACATTATCTTGTGATGTAACTCGTATTATATATATATAATGTAAATCACATGCATGCAAGCAAAATGTAACTTGTTGAGGAAAATTGACATGTAAATCAACATATCAATTTTCCATTTGTACACGATTATATATAAGGATTATGTCGATATGAAAATAATGTTAATGTTCTGTTAATATTATTTTCTTACATTCTAGTATTGTTAATAAAATGCAATCAACATATTTTTTGTAAATATCAATTTATCAAAACATTTAATTTTAACTATTCATAAGAAATGTTATTTTTTGTCATTGTAATATAAATATGAAATTAAAAAATACACATTACGATGTCAAAAATAAAAAACGTTTTTTTTTTACTTTTTCCAACTTTCATAAAAAAATTAGATCATTATAAATATTCTAAGAAAATCCAGAGTTGTTACATGGGACTTTTTATTTCCCTATTCCCAAAGTCTGGAGTCATCTCTTGGTGGATTGAACAGTGAAGCAAGGTCCAAAAAAGTGATTGATTAATTCCAACATAATTTTTCAGGGATTATAGTTTGGCATAAACTAAAGGAGGGTTTGGGATTGCTTTAAAAAAGTGATTTTTAGCTTTTGGCTTTAAAAAAGTTGAAAAGAGTGTTTTCAAATGACAGCTTCTGCTTAAATTCATCACTTAAAAGCTAAAAGCTGGAAGCAGGTAGAAGGGTGCTTTAAACTGCTTGTCACTTTTTCTATTACACAAAAAATACTTATTTTACTAAACACTACCAACTTTTACTTTTTTAGAATCACTTTTTTCTCAAACACTACCAACTTTTACTATTAATCACTTTTCCCAAAATCACTTTAAAAATCACTTTTTTAAAATTGAAGCAATTGCAAACACTCCCTAAGGTCCAAGAAATTGATTGATTATTCAAACCAGGCTAGGTAAGACCGTTTTGGAGAGGGTTAGGATCTCATCATAATTTTGGAGAATCCAAATAGGGCGGGCGGGCGGGTCCTAAAAATTATAGGAACCCTAAGGATATTAGAATTTACAAAAATGGTTATCCGGATTGACCCGTTTCAAAATAGTTTACAAAAAATATTTAATACTAGTATATATAATATACTAATGACATCGGAAATTTCTTCATGTTCATGAATCTACTAAAAATAGTTTAAGTTCCATATAAAGCTCTAAATTATTATCCCAATTCTTTATTACAAATATATCAAATTTATTTTTTATTTTTTTGAAACAAAGACCATTGGTCCCTTGAAACTGTAGACTAAATTCTAATATATCGAGAACTTTTACAGAGTCATGATGCTGGGAAATGGAATGTTCGACCTTAGGACCTGTACACTAACGCGCATATTTATAGGCGCAGTGCAGGTTACGTTCCTAAAATGGATACCTATGAGTTTGGGCCTAAGACTTTTTTGGGTTATTCCCCTTACTACCTAATTATTACTCCCTCCGTCCCGCTATGATTGTCTCATTTTATCTTTTCGGTTCGTCCCACTAACATTGTCTCATACCTTACTCCCTCCGTAACATTCATATCTTCTCACTTTCTTTTTTTGGATGTAACATTTATATCTTCCCATTTCTAAATCTTCCCATTATACCCTCAATAATTTAAAAAACAATACACTATTACACCTACTTTTTTTGGATTTATCCTTCATTCCATCACATTATTTCACTATCTTCTTATCATACCCTCAATAATTTATATCCCCCTTCACTATTCTTAATCTCACCTACTTTTGAAGTGGGAAGATATATGTGATACGGAGGGAGTATTTGGTAAAATTTGTGTGGTTCTAAATCATTCTTTCTTTATTTTTACTTTATCAATTCAATACCAACCACATAAACTTACTTTTATTAATAAGTGTGTCACCTTCTCTTGTCCCAAACATAGGGGGACGGAGGTTGTACACTTTATTTAATACCATAAAAGGTATACATATTCTAATAAATAACAAGACATAAAGGCAAGCTTGATTCAAAATTAAAATATTAGTAACAAAGACTCTTGCTCAATAAAGTGTGATATATTCATTAAATTATCTTAAGTTCAATTACATTTAGAGATTTTTTTATTTAAGTTTTAAATTGTTTTCTTAAATATGTATCAACATATGTATAGTGACTTGTCTAATTTTATTTTTTATAAATTTTTGGTCCTATCATTTTAGTTTGTGGATGATGATGTCTAATTTTGTACATTTTAAAGTTTGGTGTTATTTAATTTGTGTGATTGTGTGCTATTTAGTTTATACATTTTTGGTTAGATATTTAGGGGTTTTCCTCAAATAAAACTAATAAAAATGTTATGAACAAATATTTGACTTAGTAACTATTAGTGAATACTGAATACAATTATGTTCAAAGTTTACATCACATTAACTTAGATTTAGTTACTATGATGTATACTTTGAACACAATTGTAGTCATTATGTTAATAGTTACTAAGTCATATTTTTGTCCATCACATTTTAAAAAGTAATCCGTAATATTTATGGAATTATTTCTAGATATTTTGTTAACTAATTTCAAACTTTGTTTTATATTTTTATTTTGAATATTAACTATATATTGGTGACATTGGTACTTGGCCAATTGCAGGAACCTCATCGCCGACGTCTTTCCTAGCAGAGGCGAAAATGTCATCGCAAGACATTCATCGTAAAAAAGAAGCTTGCAAAGAAGCAGAGGCAGAACAGGCCCATCCCGTACTGGATCCGCATGCACACTGAAAATTTTGGCGCGGGGGCGAGTCGGGTCCTAATTTTAGAGAACCCGAATAGAGGGGCGGCTCCTAAAAATTATAGGAACCATAAGGGTATTACAATTTGACAAAATGGGTACCCGGACAGACTTGTTTCAGAATATTTTAAAAAATATATATTTAATACTTCATACTACGTATAATATACTAAAAACACCCAAAACATTTTCATATTCATGAACATACTAAATTATTTAGTATCAAAATCCATATGAAGTTTCAAATTATATTCCCAATTCTTTATTCCAAATGTATCAAATTTTGTTTTTTCAAAAAGACTTTTGCTCAATAAAGTGTGATATTTTCATTTAATGATTTTAATATCACTTACATTCAGATATTTTTTAATTAAGCTTTAAATTATTTTCTTAAACATTTATCAATATATGTATAGTGACTAAGTCCAATTTCTTATGACTTTATGGTGCTATATTTTTAATTTATAGATGATGACCGATGTCTAATTTTCTACATTTCAAAGTTTGGTATTATTTAATTTGTTTGATTTTGTGCTATTTACTATTTAGTTTATACATTTGTGGTTAGATATTTTTATAAATTTACTATATAATTGTGACATTGATAGTTAATTAGTTTGAATATTATATTACCTACTAGATATTTTATTAGCATAGCGGTGGTTTTTTACAAAAAAAAATAAAATAAAATAAGAATCGAAAACCCAGACCGAATCTATCTGTTTCTAACGGATCGGGTAAAATCTGATTTGTATTTTGAGACTTGGTATACCCAAATAGAACCTACTAGTTAAATTGAACTGACGGTTCTTAAAAATTTATTAATTATCCGGACCGATCGGGACCGTGCCCATCCCTAATTTGCACTATCATCATTCCCAAACTTTTGAAAGGAATCGACATAATCTTATTGGATGCTAAAACTCTTATACATCTAATAAGCATCATTATAACTCTCCAAGTTTACATTGTTTTGATGATATTTTTTATTGTTGTTCTCCACAATTATAGCCTTATAGGAGTTGGGGCTACACATTCAACTCCAATTTGTAGTGAGTCTCCAAGCATTTGATCTAGTGCAAATTACCCGTAGAGTCTATTTTTGGGTGGAGGATATCATTTATGGCCTTACTGATTTTTCTTTTCATTTTTAACTTTTATCTTTTCAATATTGGTTTTTTATTTCACTTTTAGCCTGTTTTCTTCCCACCCCTTTCGGTTTCGTATAGCCGTTTCCTCCCCCCATCGGCTATCTCAGACAACTAAGACCTAATCCCTAAATCCATTTACATCGAAGTTGTCTGGAACTCTGGAGATCGATGTTGGATGCCGGTAATTCAAGCTTCGCACTAGCGGATTTCAATTCGAAGATGGAGGAGTATCCATCTCTCAGGCTCTAGTTGCTCGCATCATCTTCTTCCCATTCTATGTTCTGTTTAGAAATACATAGGTAATTTAATCCAAGTGTCACCGTCTTCTTCCGCTGCTTCCGCTGCATATGCTTCTGACCGCAATAGCTTCCGATCAATGAGCAACCTATTACTCTTCCGCACTCCCTGTACTTCTAGGAGAAACCAGCTCATTTATCTTCTTCAACTAGCATCACATAGAAAGCATCATCGTAGAACATCGATCAGAGCTTTTCGAGATGAACATCAACACTGAGGTATACACTAATTTTCCCACTCCATGTACAGAGAGGTATCTGAATTGATATAGATCTTTTATTGAAACTTAGCTAATCGTCTAATTTGTGTCCATGATCGATCTGAGAAAAATAAATTTGATGCTTCTAAATCACCTTAATGATTCTGTGAAATTTATTGGAATGGCATCTGATTTGCCTTTGTTTTGGAGTTTAATTGATTAGTGTTACAACATGTGCTACAATTTAATGTCAGACTTTGATCCTTCCTTTACTTCATTTGTTTGAGATGGATCCCAACTAGGTTTCACATTTCTCACAAGAGAAACTGCAATAGAAAAGGCATGTTACTCATCTGATGTTCATATTAAAACTAGTACCTGCAACTAAGAAGCTCCCATTGACTGGAACACCTCTCCAGAAAAACTTGGCAGAAAAGTTTGGCCCCTTTTGAAATTTATCTTACCTAATATATTCTCATTCCATGAAGAATTTGAGACATGCTAAACATATGATGTTTTAATTATAATCCCAAAATTCTTATATCTTATTGACTTATTTATATACAAAGTATTTCTTTTTGATAAAATAAAGTTTTGCAATCGTTGGTATATATTTTTCTAATCAGGTTCTATGTTTTGGACTGCAGACTTCTATTTTTATCTCTTTTGTTTTTGTATGACTTCCTTATTATGAGTGTCTTTTGCATTATAATACTAGTATAATTATCTGTTAACTCTGTTTTGTATCGAATTCATTAGACCGAGTAAGTTAATCACTTCGTTGGCACACGGAACGTAGCCCTCACTGCCTACGTTTTGCAATTTGCTTTTGTCTAAAAGTGTTTTGTTTTTTAATTGACATGTCTTTTTCTATGTTTTTGAAACTTTAGAGCTAAATGTACTAATAAATTTTAGAGATTAGCAGATAACATAATTTCCAGATAAAAACACTCCATGATACACTTGCTTCTATTCCTCTGTATAGGATTCTTCTTAAGCATCTATTCTACATTATGACAGACCTACAATTGTCAAATTTGGATCTCCTATCAATGCCTTTAGTTTTGTTACGTTGAAATTAAGTTGTGCAAAGGTTACTATGATGACGCTCTCTAATGTAAGTCTTACATGATGTAGGTAATCGAGCATGGTTTCAACCAAGACTTGTCTTGTCTATACGTATTGGTTTGATCGACTAAAAAATAGTGTATTGGTTTTTAGTAATGATCCCGTTCTCATCAGAGGCACATTCTAAGAAAATATTTACATGAAGATGCTGAAGGCCAGGTGTGAAGATATAAAAAGAAACGAAGTAAAGAGATAGAAACCTGATGGATTGTGTATAAAGATGCAACATAGATGGAAGTAGAAGAACCAAGTTAAATGTTATACTCCGTAATAGATAAATGTATTAGATTGAAATATACATTTTTTGTAAAGCTTTCAAATGTTTTTGTTGTTGCTTATTGTTGTATTAAATGTGTTGCTTATTGTTGCATCTTGTTGTTTTGTGTTGCATCGTGTTGCATTTTGTTGCACTTTCTTACTTATTTTTGTTTTATAGTTGCTCTTGATTTTTTGTTGTTTATTTAGGTTTTTATTTATCTTTGCTACCTCTTTGAGGTAAAAAAATCATATATACATTTATATTAAATCTCAAATATGATAAATTTGCATTTATGAAACAATAAAAAACAAAAAATCCAGAGTTATCAACAAAAGGAAACAAAAGGAAACAAAAGGAAACAATATGCAAAAAAAAAGTTATATATTTATTTACTGAGTTTATAAAAAAATTACTTTATTTAATAACTTTAGTTTACATTAAATATATAGTTTTTTAGAAATTTTTTAGTTGTATTTTCTATTTTTAGTTTACTTTATAAAGTTCAATTTGAGTTTTTTAGTATGTTCAAATTATATATTTAATTTGTCCGCACTTTTTAAAAATATTTACTCTTTCATAAACAAATTTAAATTATTTTTTTATTCACATTTTTACTACTAATACAAATTTGTGATTTTCAATTTTTAAAACATATATTCAACTTTTAGGTTCTTATTTTTTATTTTCATGTTTTCCAGTTTTTTAAAGTTCACTCTTTTCATAAAAATCTTGAAATTCCTTCCATGATTTTTTATAGCTTTAAAACATTTGTTTTTTTACATATATTTTCTATAATTTTTAGTTGTTTAGGTTTTTTAAAATTTCACACGCTTTTGAGCTTACGTTGATGTTCTTATTTTTAGTTTTTACGAGTTATATATTTTATTTATATTTTACTTTAAATATTTAATTTGAATTATTCAAATATTTTCAAATTATACATTTATTTTAATTTTATAGATATTTTTAATTTGCATATATTCCAGTTTTAAAAAAGTGAACTTTCACAAATTTTCTAGTCACGTTTCATATTTATAATAGTTCCAGAACATATTAATATTATTTTGCATTTCAGAGTTGTTTTTAAAATTTAACTTATCGGTTCAATGACATTTTTATTACAACTTGTTTTAAAATTTTTATTTTTACTTTGAATTTTTCTTTAGCTTCTTAATTACGGAGTAATTTTTATTAAGACTGATATTTTCTTTTCCAATTTTTTTTTTATGTTTTAACAAATACGATAGTATATTTAAATTTTATTCTATTTAAAAAAACAAAAAAAAAGAATCATTCCTATTGCTTTATGAGTTCAACACTTCAACAACTAAGCGTCTAAGCCACTAGGGAGTAAAGATACGAAATACGGAATTAGAGATAAGCACTTTATCTATTATGGAGCAAAGATACCGATGGGGATGGTCTATTTGTGAAAGAAAAAGTTGAAGTAGTCTAATATAGTGATAAAATTGATATTATTTCCACTTTTAAGTCTATTTGTGAAAATTTCCCTTTGATCTATTAGTCTTCAATTTTCTTTGAGCATTTTTTTCCGCTTGTTTTTTCATTCTAGCTAGTTAAATGCTTGGCTTCTTCATGTATTCCACATTTCCACGTATAGAATCTAGCATATATTCCCTTAGAAGAGAAAATCTTGTCTCCTTCCAACTACGCTGGGTAAAGATATTAATAAATTAAATATTTGTAGTCAGTGACTTAAACAAAAAAAATCAACTATAATTTCCAATAGGCTATAGTTTTTGTGTATCCAACAAAATTTGTAAAAAGAATTTCGAAAGAGATTGTTATTTTAGTCTTGGATAAAGAAAAATGCGTACAAACGTCACTACTATTAAAGCAGAAAATAAATTTAGAGAAGCAATAATTAGAGAAGTCAATAACTAGTCGGAGTCCGTTTAATTAAAAAGATATTTTTCAAATGAATTTTATCCCCGATTCCCCTGAAAGTTATCCATATAGAAATTGGATGATTTAAAACTATCAATCTAATACATAAACTATGATGGATTTTTTATTTTTTATTTTCATATCTAGTAGCATTTAGTTTTACTAAACTAATGCAGTTTTGTGAAGAAAAACCCAGCAAACTAACAATGAAATAAAAAAAATTGAATAATCAAAATTAATCATGTTTTCGATCAATTAACAGTTTTTAATCATTCGTGCCTGACAATTTTCATATTCTTGATAGAAAGTTAACATATCTTTCAATTACTTGATTGAAATTATTTTCAATAGGAATCGATAAGACCATTTCATAAATAAGTAACCATTCCAAGCTAACAAACCTAATGTTCCCGTTTGAAGTTCTGACAAATTTTCATACTCCATAATTCAAAAGACAAAGAGAGCTGTAACAACAATGCTGACAAGAACTAAAGAAGGCAAATCTCCAGACTATGCTACTCATCCCTGACTGAAGATAGCAGTCCCAAATATGTACTCATATTTTACTTAGAGCTAATTGTCTTGCACAGTTGCATTCAGGTTTGACTATTCAGGTTTGACTACTTTGGTAAGGGAAGACAGGAAGATTAAAAAAAGAATAGAAAAGCACAAGTAAATATTAGGAAGAACTGCAATCACCCTGATCTCTTAGAATCTCAGTTTAATGGTTCTTGTATGTCAATAAAAATTTGTTGGCAGTTGTTGTACTCTATTCCTATAGATGGTGTTAATCTTAACTTAAGTTCTTAATCTGTGACTGTTAGATACCTTCCCACCCATGGAGCAAATAGTTGGTCAGTGTGGCAAGTTTCAGCTACTAGACAAACTTGTTGGGAAACTGCTTGACCTAAAACACAAGGTGCTTAATTCCTAAAATGAGTTTAAATTTATGAATGATGATGTTCTGCAAACGTCTTACCTCTTAACAACATACGGAGTAGCATTCATATCTTCTCGGGCCCGGCCGGGCCTGGGCCCGGCCGGGCCTCGGTTCATGAAAGGGGAGGCCCGGAACCGGCCCGGGTAACCCCCGGGTCCGGGTCGGGCCGGGCCTCGGTTCAATTTTTTTTTTTGACTTTTCCTAATTAACCCCCAACCCTCCCCCCTCACCCCAAACCACCTCAAATGGCCCAAAATACTCAGCCCAACCGAAAAACTTAAAAAAAATTCAAAAAAAAAAGAAAAGAAAAAATAAATAAATTGGCCCGGACCGGGCCCCAACCGGCCGGGCCGGTTCACCTTTTGAGGGGCCCAAGCCCGGACCGGGACCCCAGCGGGTTGGGCCTACCCGGACCGGGACCCCAGCGGGTCGGGCCTACCCGGACCGGTCCCTGGCCGGGCCGGCGGTTCGGGCCGGTTCAAACAGTGACCGGGCCGGTTCTGGGCCGGGCCGCCCGGCCCGAGTCCACCCCTATTTTTTCTTAATAATTGATGGCACACTAGGTTCTGATTCTCTCTCAGTGGACTAAAATGCTTGACATAATTGAGTACTATTCTAGTCCAAAGAATTTGGAAGTCCGCAGAATTGAGGGCAATGTCAAATGGGATGAAAGGAGAAGACATGTATATTATGTATCATCTCTTGGCCGTTTATTGTAAATTAGTGGTCTTGGACTCTTGGGAGTTTGTTATAATGTAGATACATTAAGAAAAATCATTATTTTTTCTGAGTTTTCTTTGATTTGAAGTTTTGAACAGATTCAACAGTTCAATGATGTGAACAGCACTTATATGATATTCCTTCTGAGTATTAGAGTTGAGGGGTTGAGAATAAATCTCACCTCTGCTAATACTTCCATTCTATTTTATATGATGGTGATTGGGTACTAAATTCATCTCTTCACACCCATCTTTTCTTGTGTCTGTCTTTATCTATTAACATTTCTTCTAATTCCAACTCATCAAAGGTATGTGCAAATGTAATCACATACAATTAAAAAATACGGAGTAACTTCTATGAAAAAATGTGTTTGTGTCATTCAATGGCAATTTTGAATGTTCTACAACTATGAACAAACAATATTAATTCAATAATAATTACCTTTAAAATCAATGCTTTGCAGTGTGGATGTTGTTGATGGGTACAACGCTTTCGACATATCTAAAAACAGCATGAAGAATGCCATATTTACCCGAAAAAAGGACCTTGACTTCATTAGAAGTGGGATCAAATAAAAAACTACCAGTAGCATCAATCTCATAATTCCCCTCTACTGAATATCTAGGAAAAACATCACAGACAATCCGGTTCCTCCAAAAGGTCAATGGTATTGCAAAGTGTGGATAAGGTCCACAAGTCAATATCTTACTCCAAGAACCACCAATGCCTTCCTCAATGACCCACAAATCGATCAAAGTATTTCCTGTGCTTAAAGCACTAGAATAATGAAATACGGCAAGCTTGTTCTCATACAAAGTCAGCTTAGCAACTTCGTTCCTGGATAAAGGAGGCGGTGATATCAGTCTGACCTCGTCCATTGCTAAACACAAGGAAATTATGACATTGTTATTCTCTCCCCCATGAGGTGCCAAACCACTCTTTGTTGCCAACCAAAACATAGACCCATTAGTATTAATGCATTCACTGACCAAGCGCATGTCCTTTAAGACAGCAATTTCTAGTTTCTTCCATGCATGCGTGGATAGTGAATAAACTTGAAATACATTTTCCACCACATCACCCCCCGTCGTATAGGATATGCTAATTTTGTAATCGTTCACAGTTGGAATGAATGCAAAGCCCAAACTATGAATATAACATATATCCATGTTTGTTCTGTATCTAGGCACCTGTATAACCTCTCTAGTCGCAGGATTCCACAAGTAAAGAGACAGTGCATTACCAAGCTCCTCGATTCGAACACAGAGCAAGCCGTTGCAGGAGCCCAATATCATGAGGGACTTGAACGAATAGATAAAAGGATTGTCCTGAACTTGGCAGAGTTGCATGTCGCGGTCGAGACAATATAGATTCGAGGTATCGGAGTAGGAGCTCCGTCTGAAAATAAGAGAGGGATCTTCTCCGGTGGAGCAGTCGAGGTGGCTGGCAATGAAAGATGGGCTCTTGATGAGATTCCTCCAAAGAGAGCACACACTTTGGAATCGGATTAGGGATTTCACCGCAAGTCGCTTGAGAACATCGGAGATGATTTCAATCGGAAGAAATGGGGCGCCGCTACTCATCTCCCCTAATGTCTGGTTTTGCGCTTCTTAATACAAATGCAAAGAGGATTTTAACAGACCTAATATATAATGTCCAAATCATTGATCAATCATTCAATGTGAAAAACAAAATGAGAATGAGGGGGTCTTATTCCTGGGAAAGAATTTTGCCATTTGTACACATTGAGTTATACATTAGACCATATGCATCCCTATGTAGTCTAAAAACTTAAAAAACTTAGAATCGATCAATATTGTTTTTCCTACAGTCCAACACTGTCCATAAAATACCGTCAACATGTTTTTTTAAATACGGAGTATCAGTTTATCAAAGCATTTAATTTAATTATTATAAGGAATGCTATTTTTTTGTTTTCGAAATTTGAATGAATCACTATGAAATTAAAAAAGTACACATTTTGATGTTACAAATATTTCATTAAAAAATAAAATGAGATCATTGCAAATATTCTACAGCTTTTTAATATTCCAAACCCCAATTACAATTCATCAGTGAAACATATTTCATCTCTTGGTGGATTGAAACTGGGTCCAAGAAATTGACTGATTTATTCATACATAATTGTCCGGGGATTATAGTTTGCCATATACTCCGTATGAAAAATCTACGCTTGTTTTATGTGGGGAAAAGAGCAATTCCATCTGTTGTATACACGATTCAGCAGATAAAATTCTACTCCCAGAAATGAATTTCGAATTTTTGGAAAACAAAAAGTAGCTCTATTGACAAATTTCTCTATGAGGAAGAACTTATTCCTCAAAACTTCAGATTCAGTAGGGTTCAATTTCGAAGTGGGAAGTGGGTTAAAGCAAACAATCAGGTTAAGCTTAAAGTTGACACATCTTTCTTACCTCACAAAGCATCAGGTGGTGCTATATTGAGAGACCAGAAGGGTGAACTGATTTCTGCTACGTCCTTTCTCATCCAAGCAAGCTCCAGTGAAGAGGCAGAGCTAAAAGCAGTATCACATGCGACGGAATTGACTATTGAGGGGTGTTTGGATCTGATTCTTGATTCTGCTCCAGGGAGCAGAAGCAGAAGCTGGAGTGTTTGGGTGAAATTCCAGAAACACTTCTGGAGCTCTAATTTACTCTCAGAATCAGTTTTTTTAGAAGCTGGGGGGTACCAGCTTCTGAAAACTGATTCTGATTCTGCTTCTTCTTTTAAAAAAGAAGCAGAAGCAGAATCAGTTCCAAACACCCCCTGAAGCTTGATTCCTCGATTTCCAGATTGAAACAGATGCTCAGGGTGTTATCTCTCTCATGAAAGATATATACGAGAAACGGCCTGTGAATATGAAAGGCTTCATTATCGGACATATATGGACTCTAGATCGGACATACCTGGAGGGAGGCCTACCGGGTTCAGCCCAAAAATTACTATTACCTCCATTAAAACTTTGCAAGGTTTTACCGGCACGAGATTCTAAAAAATTATAAACATGAACGAAGGTAAGGTTATTTTTGGCATACAAAATTTGTTGGTATAACTTTAAAGCTTTTTGACCTTGTACCACACGGAAAAGCCATTGTACTCCTTCCTTAATTTATGCGTCACTAAACGGCTTGCTCATCACTCCGTCAGTACAACCTCACTTAGACTCACTCCGTTTCCCGTCTCCCTTTACGCACCAGAGGCTAGCTACTAGAGGTGAACAGAGTCACAGAGATGCCAATTGCCGCTAAGAACCCACATCTTATGGCTTAGACGGAATGTCGGCGTCAAGCTCACTGCCTTCCTTGAGTTCTTTCCCTTCATCTTCACACCAACACTATCTTTTCTCACTCGACATCTTTCCCTAATTCCCTTCTTTTAATCAAGATGGTGGCGTTTAAGATGTGATTCAATATAGCACTCTAAATCCCTCGCAATCCTCCTTTCTTTCCATGTGTTATGAAGCTCAAATTGTGTCAATTGATGAGATTCTTACACCTTTTAAACGTCCCTCACTGCTGTTTATAAATGTGTTTCACCCATTGGAAAATGTTCTCTTCCGGTGCTCATCACTCTTATCCCGGTATGCCTTCACTTTTCACATGTTCGACAAAAATCTAATTAAATTGAATTCCATTTACTTTGCCTTTTGTACACATCTTCTTTTATACTCCGATATATAGTTTCTCACTTAATGTTGTACACATTACAAAATTTGCTTTTTATTTGCCTTTACCACGATTGATACAGGATTTGGAATAAATTGTTTTAACTTTGCGAGTCTATTTTTAGTAAATTGCCTTTTACCACGATTGATACAGTTTTGAAAATTATTTTTTTCCTTTCTATGGCAATAAAATTTCTTTTTATGTTTTTTCCAGACCTAATTACCAAATCAAATTTAATTTTAATTTGTGATTAATATTGCTGAATCTAATTTGTTTCCTAAATTCCATTTATTGTCTTTTGTTCTCAATATTGAAGTGGTCCTGTTAGTATCTTATTGAACTCTCACTAGTGTAATCATACAGGCTACCTGTTACCCTTGAATAATAATTAATAATTACTACATGTCTATATTGTGTGGGTACACTTTTTTTAGTCACGGAACTATTTCACAATCTATTCAGCACAAAAGGTATTCATTCACTAATATACTTGAGTAACATTTTTTTTTCGAAATTTGCTTTTACGTAGTTTTAGGTTTTAAGTCACCTATAAAAAGTCTATGTTAATAAGTATCAAAATGTACATAGAGTTTACGTTCTCATTGCAATAAACAAAACATATGTATCTACTCCCATTCGAATTCACTTTTAGTTAACAGTTATACCAAATTATCTTCAAATGTTCCAGCCCACCCTAAATTTCATTTTTAATTAAATTATTAGGGTAAAACAAATTTGTAAAAAATTGTCCAAAAAATGATGTATACCGGCTCAAGCCAATATCTCGCCCTGCTTACGCCATTACTTAGGTTTGACACGACTTCTAAGAAAATACAGGAGAAGTTTTTATTTTACTATTCTAATCTCAAAAGTAAGAAAAATAATGATGAGTTCACTCAAAGTAAAAAGTGAAATGATAAATAAAGGGATGAAATGAGAAAGTAAAAAATTAGCGGGTTTAGTTTTGAAAAGTGTTCACGTTCTTTCGACAATCCAAAAAGGAAGACGAATAAAAGGAAAGTGCTGGTTTTGTTCTTGAAATTTTGGCTAAATACTGTCTAAAAAACTAAGTGTGTCTCTCTACAAAACTCTGTGAAGAGAAAATGTCTAGGTGTTGTTCCAACACCTGCTATGGTAGGAAGAAAATCCAAATGGAATGTGTTGGCATTCTAACTTTCTATCAAAATGCAAAAAACTGAAGCACAATTATTTCAATTACTCCTCAACTATAATCAGTGTTGCATCAATTCTATAATTTTAAAATATTTGTAATGAGAAAAGGGAAAAGTTAAGTATATATAAGGTTTTTCTCGGGTTGGTTGGTTTGGATCTTTCCTTCTTTTTGTTTTTTGTTTTACTTTCTATTCTTTGATTTTCATTGTTTTCTAAATAGAAAATGATGATGATGATTATGATGATGATGAAAGATTAATTGAGAAAACCTTTTTTCTAAACAAACACCGATATTGGGCATTATCCTCTCGCGCATAGCGCGTTATTATAACTAGTAATAAAATAAAAACTGTGTGGTTTGTGTTTGTCTAGAGGAGAATATGATGACCGACTATTTACGAAATTAGTTTCCTTATCGGATTAAAATTATTTACCAAAGTATTGCTGAAATAATTTGGCCTATCGTATTAAAATTACTTGGTATTTAGCAAAATATTGCTCAAGTAAACTATATATAATTACGAAAAACTAGACCTGCACAAAAACATGTTCGGGCCGGGTTTTTTATAATTTTTTGTCCATCATGTGTGGAAGGGCCCTGCCTGGCCCGCAAAAAAGGGCCTAACCCCAAGTCCATACCCGCCCGTAAGAGCGGACTGGGTAGTTCACTGGGCCGCCCAGCCCGGTAAAAGTTTAAATTTTTCAAAATTACATAATTTTTTATTACTTTATAAAAATATTATAACATTAAAAAAATTGTTAATACACTTATAATGTTTATAAACCTTTCACCACATGCACAAAAAATACTTACACAAAAATAATAAAGAGAAACTATATCTAAAATTTAAAATTCAATCACAAAGTATAATCCTTAAGTACAAAAATAGATATTATATTAGTTGGGCTGGTTGTTAAGAACTATAAAATATAAATATGTATAAAGATAAATTAATAAATATAAATATGCACGTGTACATGTAAATAAATGAATAAATAAATAAATAAGTATATACATAAAAATATACAGAGTATATGTATATATACTAAATGAAGCGGGCCAGCCTTATCGGCCCGAACGGGCCTACACCCTATCCAAGCTCGTCCAAATGTTATTGCAGGCCGGGCCCAGACCGGGCAAATGAGTAAATACATATATCTAAGTCCGCCGATTTGTGCGGGCGGGTTGGGCGGGTCAGGCGGACTGGCCCGATTTTGTGCAGGTCTACGGAAAATCCCAAACCAATGGGCAATTCTCTAAGTAATAGGGACGGAGCGCTGACTGCTGAGTGCATACGAACGAACGAAGCTTTGCTGGGAGACAACAAGTATGGGAAGAGAGGGGTGAAGCCAAGGTGGAAGAGAGGGGAGACAGCACGTTGGTGGAAGCGATAAGGCATGTTTTGCCGTTAAAAGCTTGGAAACTCTCACATGGTTTGCAAATAGTCTCGCTCCTTCGAGGGTGGTCTATTCTAAATCTAGCCAGAGAGTGAGGGGCCTTTGGGCTATTCGGAGCCTCAAGAGGAGCTTTGGCGAGGTAGGGGAGGTAGTACTTTTAGAGGTTTGTGTGAGGAGGTTGGTCATTGTAAGGGAGGAAGTACGCTGCGATCTTTGATTAATATAATATAATCAGTTTCCTTTAAAAAAACAATTTAATTTCTGATTGGGAAGATAATAGGGCTGAAATGAATAAAATGTGTATTGTGTGATTTATTTGAACTCATTTGATTCCATGATTAGAAAGTTGAAATTTTAGAGAGCTAAAATTTTGTAGAATAAATTAGATGGACTATTTACCGAAACCTCTTTGTATAGTCGGATGTTTTTAGGAAAGTTCCCGAAATAGGACTAAAAAAATTTTACAATTCCAAAATAGGACTGTCATATTTTTATTCCCAAAATAAGAGTAATTACTATCGTGTTTAGAAAATACTGTCATGTTTGAAGTCTGGTACTGCCAAAACATGGCAGTAATTAGTCTTATTTTGGGAATAAAAACATGGAAGTCATATTTTTGAATTTTCAAACTTTTGTAGTCCTGTTTGGAGTAATATTTTCATGTTTTTACTTAAAAAGTTTTTAAATTTATATTGGATATGTAAGGGACATTGATTAAAATCTAGATGTTCTTACCACACTTATTATGATATTAAGTTGTGTGGTGAACTGGTGATAAGCATATAAATGATTATACTCCTATTGTTTTTTAAGTGCTACTCCCGATTCCATTTGTGATGTGAAATTTGCTATAAAGTACGGTAGAGATAATCTGACCTTTGACAATGAGGTTAATCGTCTTAAGAGTAAGAAGTTAGATTTAAAATAAAACATATTGGTGAGAGTAGAAAATCTGAGGAGGTTATGCATGTGAGTGGTGGGAAATGTTGTTGTCAATATTACATTCATCCATCATACTACCTCCGTCCCCCTAAGTTTGGGACAAGAGAAAGTGGCACGGTTATTAATAAAAGTGAGTTTATGTGGTTGATATTGAATTGATAAAGTAAGAATAAAGTAGGAATGATTTAGAACCACACAAACTTTACCAAATAAGGTATGAGACAATCTTAGTGGGACGAACTGAAAAGGTAAAACAGGACAATCATAGCGGGACGGAGGGAGTAACTTTTATGTTTTTTTTTTATTCCAAATAGGACTTGTTATGTTTTTTTTTATTTCAAAATAGGACCATATTAGTCATATTGGAAACATACGTATTTTTACATTCTATTCTTACCCCTCTAAATTTGAGTAAAAGATAGTCAAAAGTCATATTTAAATGCTTAATTCATAATAAATTTGAAAAAATTTAAAAAACTCATAGAAAAATAAAAAAAAATTAACAAAATATTTATATAAAAAATTAAAAAAAAAAACAGTAAAAATCCATTAAAAAATTAAAAACAAACATGGATGCCTTTCCCACCGCCTATACTGCGCGCCTCCCTGCACCACTATCTTCGACCAATGGAAGAACTACCATTTTTTTCTTGAAAATGTCAAAATAATGGCATACTACTATTTGAGAATGTCAACATTTTCATTATTTTTGTCAAAACTATGACATTCCTAACCCAAGTGACATTTTTCCCTTGATGACCAGAGGAGGTAGTGTTTTTTTTTGCGTTTCTTATTTAAAAAAAATTAGTTTTTTTTTAAATTATTACTCCTTCCGCCCCCTTTTAAATGTCCCATTTTACCATATCCGGATGTCCCTATTTAATTGTCTCATACCTTATATGGTAAAGTTTGTGTGACTCGAAATCATTCTTAATTTATTTTCTTACTTTATCCATTAATATCAACCACACAAACTTACTTTTCTTAAAACCCGTGTCACTCTCTTCCGGGACATTTAAAAGGGAACGGAGAGAGTATCATTTAAATATTTTTTTATTAATGTTTTAGTATTTTTTATGATTATTTTATTATTTTATTATTATTTTATTATGAATTAAAACATGGGAAAGTTCCCGAAATGGGACTAAAAAAGTTCAAAAATTCCAAAATAGGACTGTCATGTTTTTATTCCCAAAATAGGACTAATTACTGCCAAATTTGAAAAATACTGCCATGTTTAAAGTCTGGTACTGCCAAAACATGACAGTAATTAGTCCTATTTTGGGAATAAAAACATGGAAGTCCTATTTTGGAATTTTCAAACTTTTTTAGTCCCATTTTGGGTAATATCTCTTAAAACATTCAATAGCAACAAGGGTATATTTGTCCAACACATACATAATTAGTTCTATCAAAACATAATTTACTTTTTTGTCTTATTTGTATAAACTAACAAGCTTTTAGTCATATTTTGATAATTAGGATATTTTTACTCGGATTGTAATTTGCTGGTCTGATATGGTCTGGTCTGAAGTGATTTGGTCTGATCTGTTTCTTTGAATTTTTGTATTTATCCAAGTGTGATCTTGTCTGATCTGACTTTTTTGTATTTTTATACCTATCCAAGTCTGATCTGATCTGGTCTGGTATGATCTGGGACAAATTAGCATCCAAATCCAAAGTAAACACATCCTTAACCCTTATTACAAAATGCAAAACCAGACCTAAGGCAAGATTTGCTGCGGCTGCAAGTGAGTATGAACCCGGCGAAGATGAGTAGCGGTGCTCCTTTCCTTCCGTTAGAAATCATCTCCGACGTTCTCAAGAGACTTCCGGTGAAATCCCTAATCCGATTCCAAAGTGTGTGCAATCTCTGGAAGAATCTGTTAAAGAGCCCATCTTTCATCGCCAGCCACCTCGACCACTCCAACCGAGAAAATCTCACTATTATTTTCAGAAGGATCCCCTACTCCTTTACCCTTCTATATTGTCTCGACGGCAACATGCAACCCATCCAAGTTCGGAACAATCCTTTTATCGATAGGTTCAAATCCCTCGAGGTCGTCGGCTGCTGCAACGGCCTGCTCTGTATTCAAACCAGGCAGCTTGGTAAATTACCGTCTCTTTACTTGTGGAATCCTGCGATTAGGGAGGTTAGAGAGGTGCCTAGAAGCAGACCAAGCACGAATTTATGCTATATGACTAGTTTAGGCTTTGCATTCTGTCCAACTGTTAAGGATTACAAAATTGTCATACCCTATGTGACCCCAAGTGATGTGGAATATGGATTTGAAGTATATTCACTAGCCACAACTTCATGGAAGAACATAAAAATACCTAGGTTAAAGGAAGGACACATTCTCACGGAATGTATTACTTCCAATGGGTCTATGTTCTGGTTTGCAACAAAGAGAATTGTAGCTGGGCAATATCATGGGGAAGATAATACTAATCTCATAGCTTCATTGTACTTAGCAATGGACGAGTTTAGATTGATACCACCTCCTCCTTTACTGGAGAACAGAATTGCTAAGCTGACTGTGTATGAGAACAAGCTTGCCGTATTTCATTACTCTCAACCTTTCATGAACACAGGAAATACTTCGATCGATTTGTGGGTGATTGAGGAAGGCATTAATGGTTCTTGGAGTAAGATATTGACTTGTAACCCTTATCCACACTTTGTAAAACCATTGACCATTTGGAGGAACCAGATTGTGTTCAGTGTTATTCATAAATATTTTTCAGTAGTTGGGAAGGATGAGAATGATGTTGCTGGTAGTTTTTTGTTTGATCCCACTTCCAATGAAGTCAAGGTCCTTTATTGGGGCGGAGATGGCACTCTTCAAGCTGTTTTTACATATGTTGAAAGTCTTGTACTCATTAGCAACATCCACACCGGATAGCATTTATTTTAAAGCGTAATCATTGTTGAATTATTGCAATGCATTGCAGATTTACTGATTGTATTGTCTCTTCGTAGACAATGATAACTTAATTGTTTTGTAAGAGAAATAGATTAGATATGAATGCTAAGATGTTAAGAGATTAAAAGACGTTTGCAGAACATCATCATTCATATATATATATATACGCATTAGTAGTTTTCCAATAAGTTTGTCTAGTAGCTGAAACTTGCACATTGGCCAACTATTTTCTCAGTTGCTCCACGGGTGGAAAGAAAACTAACAGAATAAGAACACAAATTAACATTAACAACCATCTACAAGAGTAGACTACAACAACTACCAACAGATTTGAACTGACATACAAGAACCATCAAATTGAGAGGTCAGGGACTCAGGGTGGTTAGCGTTCTTTCTAAGTTTTCACTTCAGTCCACAATAGCAAGTATATGACCAAGTTAGAGTAATATAAAATAAGAAGTAGATCCTTGATGAAAAAAATCAAATGATTAATATGCTGCTGTATATTTCCTCTTTCACGCTATATATTGTTACCATACCCGTTACCACATTCACAATAAGATGGCCTTCCATTGACTTATTAATGAGACGCTCTTGAAAATCTTTCTAGTGCTCAGTCATTGTGACAAAGTTGAAAACTAGTATTGTTTTTGTACACATTTTCAAAACTAATCACATTGACATGTTTTTTTGTAAGGTTAGGTCAAGTAAAAAAGTCAATCAAACTAAAAAGAGATTCTCACTCTTTGAAGGAGAATCTTCATCATACTCACTCCCTTTTCTTTCTTCGGTGGACACTCATGAACTAGAAGAAAAGGGGGTTCTTCATGTTTTGAAGTGTTTATGTGTTTGTTTACTAAATAAACTAAATAGAAGTCTGGTGGAACTTTGGTATGGTTGATGCTCCGAAAAAGGACGCATTCTCACTGAATGTATTACTTCCAATGGGTCTATGTTTTGGTTTGCAACAAAGAGAGTTTTAGTTGGGCCATATCATGGGGAAGATAATACTAATCTTATAGCTTGGTTGTACTTAGCAATGGACGAGTTTAGATTGATACCACCTCCTCCTTTACTCAAGAACAGAATTGCTAAACTGACTGTGTAGGAGAACAAGCTTGGCGTATTTCATTACTCTCGACCTTTCATGAACACAGGAAATACTTCGATCGATTTGTGAGTGATTGAGGAAGGCATTAATGGTTCTTGGAGTAAGATATTGACTTGTAACCCTTATCCACACTTTGTAAAACCATTGACCATTTGGAGGAACCAGATTGTGTTCAATGTTTTTCATAAATATTTTTCAGTAGATGGGAATGATGAGAATGATGTTGCTGGTAGTTTTTTGTTTGATCCCACTTCCAATGAAGTCCAGGTGCTTTATTCGGGCAGAGATGGCACTCTTCAAGCTGTTTTTACATATGCTGAAAGTCTTGTACTCATTAGCAACATCCACTCCGGAAAGCATTTATTTTAAAGCGTAATCATTGTTGAATTATTATAATGCATTGCAGATTTACTGATTGTATTGTCTCTTTGTAGACAATGATAAGTTAATTGTTCGTTAAGAGAAAATAGAGAAGATATGAATGCTAAGATGTTAAGAGATTAAAAGACGTTTGCAGAACATCATCATCATTCATAAATATACGCATTTTATGAAATAAGCACCTTATGTTTTTGTTGAAGTAGTTTTCCAATAAGTTTGTCTAGTAGCTGAAACTTGCACACTGGCCAACTATGTTCTCAACTGCTCCACCGGTGGAAGAAAACTAACAGAATAAGAACACAAATTAACATTAACAACCATCTACAGGAGTCTCCTAACAACTACCAACAGATTTACAACCATTAACATAAGAACTAACATACAAGAACCATCAAATTGAGATTATAAGAGGTCAGGATGGTTGGAGTTCTTTCTAAGTTTTCTCTTTAGTCCACAATAGCAAGTATATTACCAAGTTAGAGTAATATAAAATAAGCAGTAGATCCTTAATGAAAAAGTCAAATGATTAATATGCTGCTATATATTTCCTCTTTCACGCTATTATGCTATAAAGTATTTCTACATCATAATACTGTTACCATACCCGTACCCACATTCACAATAAGATGGCCTTCCATTGACTTATTAATGAGACGCTTTTGAAAATCTTTCTCATCTGCACATCAACAAAGACAGGTGGTAGTTTCAAAGTGAAATAATTTGTAGATGTATTTAATGTATGACTGGGAAAATAGTAGGTAGAATTTGGTCGCTAACTTTTCTTCTTCTTAGAAAGTCATCTCTAGTATTCAGTGGTAGTTGACAAGCATAGAAGTACACGTACACAATAATGATAGTTCTGAGAAGCTTCAAACTAAAAGAAGAGAATTCCAAACTTAGAAAATTTAAGGACTCATATCTCAATAATAACATAGAAAATTCATAATATAACACATTAGCAAATTAGGAGAATGAAAAAAAATCGTGGGAAAATCACATTTTCGGCCCCTCAAGTATTACCCGTTTGAAATCTTGTCCTCGTGTGTTGGAGTTTGTAAATATTACCCCCCAATTATCCGAGGTATTGTCAATGTGCTCCTCGCCATCAAATCTAAACTAACAACGTGACTTTTATAACTTTTGACATGATGACGGTTATAACTTCAAACACAATACAAAAATATTGTTTTAAAGAAAATCGCACCAATAATTTTTGTCTCTAAAGTTATAGGCAACAAATGTCCGGCACCGACAAAAAATGTTTCCAGAAAGACCAAAAAATTGTATCACTTTTGTACACATTGTATAAAAAAAAATCCACCCTCGAATTTTCGAGTAAAAGTAAACATTCAAAACATTCATTTTGAAAATAAATGTCTCGAAACAAAAAGAGTGCTAAAAATTATCTAATTTCGTACACATTTTAAAATCACATTATGTGGCACAGAAAATGCTAATAATTATTTGGCACTGACACAAAGGTCAAGATAGTCCAGGCATTTATCTTTGCAAAAAAGTTTTTTTTTTTTGCTAACATTATTTTATATCACCTTATATCACCTTTTTAAAAAACAATCTCTCTAAAAGATCATTTTCCTATGAAATTAGGTGAGTCATACAAAATGTCAGCCGAAAAAAACTTGTCTTTCATCATACAGAGAATAAAAGGAATAAACCTATAGAATTTCTTAACTTTTTTGCCAGTGCCATATATTTATTTGGCATTGTCAATGCCAAACAATATGATTTGAATGTGTGTATAAAAATTATACTACCTCCATCTCAAAATAATTAGCCAAATCCTAAAATTTGAATCATGATTTTGATTAGTATAATATTATAGAAGATATAAACTTTATACCTTTTATGGAAATACAGCTAACAAAGAATATTTTCATATTATTTTTATATAATAAATAATTTTCAATAAATATATATAATTGGTCAAAGTTTTACAGATGACGAAGTATTTTGGGACAAGGGTAGTACTATTTTTGGCGTTGACATTTACTGTCCGTAAAATTGTTTTTTTCGACCTAGAGCTTTTTATCCTTCGCATAATAGTATATAAGCAACAATTGTTAATGTAAATGATTTTGAAAATGCATACAAAAAGTATTACAAAAGTTACTTGTTTGAAAGCATTTATATATATATGTGATAGACTTTTTATAGTATATAAAATGGTTTTTTTTTTATTAAAATTAATTGTTGGAGGAAGATGTATGGTGTATTGATAATGACGCACATGTGGATAATGTGTGGTTATCAATGCAGTAGATCATTAGCAAAGTGGCGAAGGAGATACTTGGAGAATCTAAAGGATGCACAAGTCTCGACTGGGTGATTTGCTCATTAGCGTAGAAGATCGAGTTATGCACTTGTAGACGAGTTGAGAGGTGGGGAGAAGAGGCAGGTAGAAGGGGGAGGGAAGACCCAAACAAACTTGGATTAGAAAAATCAAGACTGATATGTTTCTTCTTGGCTTGGATGGGAGTATGACTTTGGAGATAACATAGTGGAGGCCTGGAGGGCGCATATATAGGGATGGACTCGGGCCGGGCGGCCCGACCCGGAACCGGCCCGGCCCGGTTACTGTTTGAACCGGCCCGGCCCGGGAACCGGTCCGGGGGGCGGTTCGGGCCGGCCCGGCCCGGTTACTGTGCGGTTCGGGCCCGGTTCGGGCCAAATTATTATTATTATTATTATTATTTTGAATTTTTTTTAAGTTTTTGGGTTGGGCTTGGTATTTTGGGACATTTGAGGTGGTTTGGGGTGGTTTGGGGGTGAGGGGGAGGGTTGGGGGTTAATTAGGAAAAGGCAAAAAAAAAAAAAATAGGATCGAGGCCCGGCCCGAACCGGAACCGGGATTACCCGGGCCGGTTCCGGGCCTCCCATTTCTGAACCGAGGCCTGGCCGGGCCCAGGCCCGAACCGGAACCGGTCCACCCATACGCATATATATGTGGACGATTGATTTCTTTTGATCTTCTTTTCTTTTATCTCTTTTATCTTTTATCTATATTATACTCTTATGTTATTGTTATCTTATTCATCTTATCTTACCTTATCTTTTTATTTTTCTTATCTTTCTTTTCTATTTGACTCAAATATCATGGATCGATTCATGTTTACCGACCCCAAAATCGTTTAAGAATAAGGCTTGGATGTTCTTTTTGTTGTACGTCGTTGCTGTCGTTGTCTTTCTTTTACTCCAAAAACTTCTTTTGGAAATGATTTTGACATTGTGTACGAACATGATACAATTCTTACTTTTAAACCATATCAAAAACATTTTTTATTTGTGACAGATATTTATTATCTATAAATTTTAGTTTAGAGATGAAAGTTTTGAGTGCCATTTTTTTTCAAAAAGTATTATTTTTATCCGTGTTTGAAGTTATAACGTTGATCGTGTCAAAAATCACACGTAGTAAAAGTTGATGGTGTTAGTTCAAATTGGACGGCGAGGACCTGACTTACAACAACTCTGACAATTAGCGTGCGATTCTCCAAAAAATAATTGAATCATTTGAACAATCTTATCAACGTAAAAATGAAATACAACATAAAAATGAAATACAATTGAACTAAAATTATAATAAGGTCTCAACGTAATCAAGTACTCCGTATATAACATTAAATCGATAAAACAAAAACAAATATAATCCTAAATGCGCAAAATATAAATTATTACCTCATAAATTATGGCTTCTCATAATTTTTATGCCAATTGAAATTCAAAGCTGCCCATCTTTATCGTTGTTGTGTGCTTCGGTTTGAGCCGCAACACACTAATAGAGTTTTCTTTACAAACCGGATGCGGCTTTACCCAGGAAAATGGAACACAATGACCATAGACACATTGGACAAACATAGCCGAACTCTCCCTTCTAAAAACTACACAGTATGTAATTGACTAAACAAAGGAGGTTTAACAAGGGAGCTGTCTTGGTAGTATTGTTGGTAGTTGCATTCATCGAAATCTCCCAGTTTCTGAGAGCTAGCTCTGCTTTCATGAGTAACAAAAATGACCAGGCTCCAACAATGGCATCACAACAGGGTGGGAAATCATATGTCCAACAAATAACTAACCATAAGTCGTCATCTTCAGCTGTTCAGCAGGTGGCAAAAGCGCGCCTTCAATTCTTGGAAACCAACAGAACATTCCTACAACCTCGGGCAATGGAAGCAAAAGTCAAATGCAGCAGCAGCATTTGCAGAAAGGTGTAGCGCTTTTGCCAACTCAGCCGATAGACAACCGCATTGGAGAGATATTAATGTACGAAGTATATAATTTCTTATTATACACGCCCATTGGGGATGCTCTTAGAATCTCAATTTGATGGTTCTTGTATGTCAGTTCAAATCTGTTGGTAGTTGTACTCTACTCCTGTAGATTGTTGTTAATATTAATTTGTGTTCTTATTCTGTTGGTTTATGTCAGTTCACACCTTCTCTCAATTTTCTCTTTACAATCAATAAAATTATCATCGTCAACAAAGCCCATACAATCACTAAATCTGCAATGCATTATAATAATTCAACAATGATTACGCTTTAAAATCAATGCTTTCAGAGTGTGGATGTTGCTAATGGGGACAAGGCTTTCAGCATATGTAAACACAGCATGAAGAATGCCATCTCTGCCCGAATAAAGGACCTTGACTTCATTGGAAGTGGGATCAAACAAATAACTACCAGCAGCATCATTCTTATCATTCGGCTCTACTGAACAGTTAGGATAAACATTGCACACAATCTGGTTCCTCCAAATGGCCAAAGGTATCCCAAAGTATGGATAAGGGCCACAAGTCAATATCTTACTCCAAGAACCACCAATGCCTTCCTCAATCACCCACAAATTGATTGAAGTATTTCCTGCGTTGAAAGCGTGAGAGTAATGAAATACGGCAAGCCTGTTCTCATACACCGTTAGCTTATCAACTTCGTTCATGGGAAGAGGAGGCGGTGGTATCAATCTAAACTCGTCCATGGCTAAGTGCAACGAAGCTATGGCATTAGTACAATCTTCCTCGTGAGATGTCAAACCTCTCTTTGTTGCCAACCAAAACAGAGACCCATTAAAAATTATAGAATCAGTGAGAAAGCGTCCGTCCTGTAACCAAGGCATTTGTATTTTCTTCCACGAAGCTGTGGCCAGTGAATAAACTTCAATTCCATATTCCATTTTACTCCGCGTCACATAGGGTATGGCAATGTTGTAATTGTTAACGAATGCAAAGCCCAAACTACAAAGATAACATAAATCCATGCTTGTTCTGCTTTTAGGCACCTGTATAACTTCTCTAGTTGCAGGATTCCACAAGTAAAGAGACAGTAAAGTACCAGACTCCCGGATTTGAACACAGAGCAAGCCGTTGCAGGAGCCTACGATTTCGAGGGACTTTAACCTATCGATAAAAGGATTGTTCTCCACTTGGCGGAGTTGCATGTGGCGGTCGAGACAATCTAGAGTCGAGGTAGCGGAATAGGGGTTTCTTCTACAAATAAGAGAGAGATTTTCTGGGTTGGAGTGGTCGACTTGGCTGCCGATGAATGATGGGCTGTTGATGAGATTCTTCCAGAGACTGCACACACATTGGAACCGGATTAGGTATTTCACCGGAAGTCTCTTGAGAACTTCGGCGATGATTTCTGTTGGAAGGAAAGCGGCGCCGCTACTCTTCTTCGCCGCCTTCATAGTTACTCGCATGCGTAGCAAATCTGCCCTTATGCCTGGTTTTGCAATTTGTAGTAATTTGGATTTCGGATATGCCTGACTTGGGGAAAAAAGTAAAAGTTGTGCAGAGGAGAGAAAAATGTGTAATGGACAAGAAATACTAGAATTAGGAATTCTTTGATTAAAAAAATGCATGGAAAATTATTCTGCGCGGACATTTTTTTTTTTGGAAGTTACTTGGAAGAGGAAATATATTTTACCACTTCTATCCCACTATGTTTGGGACAAAGGGGTGGGCACAAATTTTGAGAAAAAGTACTTCGACCTGGAGCTCCATATCAGGTCGAGCGAATAGAAATTCAAAGTACTTGGACCTTTGAGGGCAGTAAGCAGAAGAGGGATTTGATGGTTGGAGTGGTTGAGGTGGTCGATGATGAAGGAAGGGGCGTTGATGACATTCTTCCTTAGATGGCACACACTTCGGAATCAGATCAGAGATTTCACTGGAAGCCGCTTGAGAATGTTTGTGATGATTTCTTCTGGAAGGAAATGGATGCCGCTACCTATCTCCTCCAGTTTCATGGATTGGGATCCTCTGCCCGACTAGGACGATGCCTTGCGCATCGGACGGTCGGGCAGTAGCAAAGCAGGCCTCGAGATTAGCGATAAAGTGGAGCCCAAGATCTCCGACCGTTGAATTGTTGATCGGACGACCCGGAAGAAGCAAGGCACCCTACCTTACTCTAAAGTAAGGTAGAGGCTCCGGATCCCAGTTTCATAGTTGCTGCAAAGTATTCATCCAGTCGGTAGCTCTTCCGCTTCTTAATTTGATTTCTCTTATGATAAAATAAATAAATAAACAAAAACGATCTTTGTACTCATTCTTATACCCACTTTGTACCCACCTATGTTTGTGAAGTGTTTTTTTTGTCTGTGAACCGCGATTCACAGACAAAAAAAAACATTCACAAACATGGTGGGTATAAAGTGGGTATAAGAGTGGGTTAATAAATCCCAAACCCTAACTAACTAACTTCATTTCTCAAAAAAATAAAAAAGTTAACTAAATTCATTATTTACATTTTAACATGCTGTAGAAAGCAAATTGAATCTCTTTTCTCAATAAAAATTATCAAACTCTCATTAATACAAGTAGGACAATCACTGAACTCGTTAAAAATAGGTTTGGAAATAACTTCCCAGCAAGAGTATGGGCCACACGATTTGCGGATCATTTACAATATATCACATTCATCCCAAATTGATTTGCAAATTTGAATTTTCTTTGTCAAACAGTTTCATTTTATTCGCTTAATTAGGATGTCGATTTTTAGTTATTTTCTAATTTGAAGTTTGCAACTTTGAAGAAATTTTATTGTAGTTTCTGAATATGTAAATTTTAATTATTAAAATTTGAATTAATTATCAATAGAGAGGATTGACTTGTATTATTGTATATGATAACCCGCTTTCGCGGCGTTGTAGTAAAACGGAGTCTAACCTTTCGGTTTTTCCCCGAGTATCGTGTCTCTCGAGGAATGGCGGAGGAGCTTCTTGATTTTAAGTCCAGTCACATGTTATCGCAAATTATTGGAAGCTTTCCAAATTAAAACTTTTGATTGATTTTCTAAACTACTTTTTGGAAAAGAAAGTAAATTAAATTGTGCGAATACTAATGATGGCTAAAAAAATAGACTAAAGGAAAAAATATAATATTAAACTTAAATGGATTGATGCAAATAAGGGCAATGAATTGAGTAATTAGAAATGGATATATTCTTGGACCTAGTAATTAGGGAAATTAAAACTAAAATTGGACTAATAATTTCTTTCCTCATAGACAAGAATAGAAACTATTTTCATTAATTTATCCTATTTCTAGGTGTCATTAATGTGTTCAAAATGGTTGGCTTTAATTAAATTCTAACCTCATAGACAAGGTAGAAATAATTCTCCAATATTTTAATTAATAAAAATAGCCAAATTCATTAACTAGTTAAACTCATTATTTAAGCAATTGAATTTATCTCTCATAGACAAGATGTAAATCCCTTTCATTAAATTATCCTATTTCTAGGCCTTATTAATGTGCTCGAATATGGCTGGCTTAAATTATTTTCTAATCTCATAGACAAGTTAGAGATAATTTTCCAAGAATTTAATTAATGAATATGGCTAACAATTATTAATTACTATTTCATCATTTCAAACAACTAGTCCCCATTATTAATTTTAATCCCTAATTTTTTTTGGTCAACAAGTCAATCCATATTCCTTTAGTCAATTCATGCCCAAAACAAATTTAGCTAATAAAGATCATTTTAACAATTAACAATATAATGAATATATTCAACATTAACAAGGAATTAAACATGGATGATAGAAAAACTTATATTCTGGAACAATAAACTTGTAGAAACTAAAGTATAACTTTCTGGAATTTTTCACGAATTTTTGAACCTAAAATCCAATTTTAACAACTAATTGATAATTTTCCCAATTTTAACTAGAAAATGCAAAAAGAAACTAAAATTATTCTAAATTCGTTCTAAATTTTATATTGACTACTGGGAGTGATATTACTGTGAATTAAACTGGAATTAGGACAGAAACTAATTTTTTTACCTTTTTGAGTATTTAATTTAATTTATGCAATAATAACAACTAAATGCCGGAATTAATTAAAATTTACTTCTACTTCGTAAAAATTAACTTTGTTTTGATAAATAACTACCTTGAGGCTAGTAAACAACTATATAATTAATTGGAATGGATTTAATGTCAACAACTATTTTATTCAAATTTAAGAAGAAAATGCGAAATAGTGGAATAATTTTCTGAAAATTTTAGAAGCACAGATAGAAAAAACTAAGTACAGATTCAGATTCTACTCATTGAAAGGATGAAAATACATATAAAGAACTCACAATTTGGAGCTAAAATGAGAAAGATATGAAAGATTGAAGTTGAAGGTGCAACAATGGTGGAAATCCGAGCTTTGAGGAGGAAGAAGACGCCTTTTTTGATCTGATTTGGGCTTGAAATTGGTGTGTTTGAGTTCAGAAAAAATCGGGCAATTTATAGGAAAAATTTCCCCGAAGGCGGCCAACCAGGCGGCCGCCTTCCGCCTCTCTCCGGCCGCCTTCCGTCCTCGTCGCCGACAGCGGTCGGTGGCCGGTCTCCGTCAGCCGTAGGCGGCCACAGAGGGCGGCCGCCTTCCGCCACAAATGGCCGCCTACCGTCTTTTCGTTGGCAAATCGGATCGCGGCGGATCGCGGCGGATCCCGGCCGCCGCAGGCGGTCCAGCAGGCGGCCGCCTGCCGTTCCTGTCTGGCCGCCTGCCGTCAAATCTCACCGGCCGGCGGTTGCTTCGTCGTCTTCTGCCGCAGGCGGTCACCGTAGGCGGCCGCCTTCTGTCCAGTGTCGGCGGCCTACGGTCTTTTCCAAATTCGGTCAAAGTCAAAGTTTGATTTTTGAATTTTCCGAAGGCGGCCAACCAGGCGGCCAGATTGGGGGCCTTTTTGGGTGCCTTCTGATAAATTTGTCTGGCAGATGCGGCTTTTCCTGCTCTTCAACTTTGTCTTCTGAATCACCTTGATATAATGCTTGCTTCTTCCGGTATGAATTCATTTGTCACTCAAATTGACTCATTTTGTGCTCAATTGACCCGAAATTCCGGCAAACATATTATGAACGTGGTTTTCACCTGATTTCATGAAACTTGAACCAAAATATATAAAATGTGCCTTGTTTTTCTATTTTTCAATCCAGAATCGCTTAAATTTGATAAGAAAAATAAGTACATAAATGGACTTATCAATCTCCTCACACTTAAGCGTTGCTTGTCCTCAAGCGACGAATCAGTTGTAAACACACTCAAAAGGTAAAGCCTAACTGTATTACAATCTAGTTGCTATTTTAAAGAAGTAGAAACAAAAACCTCTTCTTTTTATTCTCAATCTTTAAACATTTTAGAAAAATCACCCAAAATACAAGAGTTTAAAATTAGTATTACTTTAGAAAAACTATTCATTATGTTAAACCACCAATCAATTCCTTATCCCAAGGTTTTCATTATTCTAATTGGGACATTCATCTTGTTCATTTTTTTTTTTGCTCTTTTTCACTCTTGTTGGCGGTGTTATCCCATGGTAAATGCATATTTCATTCTCACAGACTGTGATTAACAAATGAAACAGAGCCCCTTTTCGGAGATGGAATTGTCCTATAACAATGAGTTTTGAAGAGGTTTATTAATAGTAACATTTTTTTTTCTTTTTTTTTTATGAATAAAATGAATGTCCAATTAAAACAAATTCAGCCCTTTACATTCACAACCAAAAACCCATAACAAATTCCAGTTTTCTAAAAATAATAATAAAAGTAAATTCTTATAATAGGGGTGATTATCTAAGCTATTTATGTGATTGATAACAAATTGAGAAATTAATATTTCATATAAAAAATAGTAAAAAGATTGTTCTAAAACAAGGTTTTAACTTTTGAGTGTAAAACGCAACCTCCTCACACTTGAGGTAGACCTCGCCCTCGAGGTCTTCTTTTAAGGCACAAACCCTTGAAATAAAGACACAGAGGTCGGTGGCCGGTCTCCGTCAGCCGTAGGCGGCCACAGAGGGCGGCCGCCTTCCGTCACAAATGGCCGCCTACCGTCTTTTCGTTGGCAAATCGGATCGCGGCGGATCCCGGCGGATCCCGGCCGCCGCAGGCGGTCCAGCAGGCGGCCGCCTGCCGTTCCTGTCTGGCCGCCTGCCGTCAAATCTCACCGGCCGGCGGTTGCTTCGTCGTCTTCTGCCGCAGGCGGTCACCGTAGGCGGCCGCCTTCTGTCCAGTGTCGGCGGCCTACGGTCTTTTCCAAATTCGGTCAAAGTCAAAGTTTGATTTTTGAATTTTCCGAAGGCGGCCAACCAGGCGGCCAGATTGGGGGCCTTTTTGGGTGCCTTCTGATAAATTTGTCTGGCAGATGCGGCTTTTCCTGCTCTTCAACTTTGTCTTCTGAATCACCTTGATATAATGCTTGCTTCTTCCGGTATGAATTCATT